ACTTGCAAGATGTGCGTAGTTTTAAGGTTTGGTCTATGCAGAATAATACAGTACAATTTAGATAAAAAAAATTATGATACAAAGACATCAAGCCATGTAATACTCATTTTGAGCAATTATCATATCTCCTTTCAATTAAAGTAAAAAAGTTCAAACATTAATCAGTTTCAACAAATATATAGCTAAATGTTTTGAAATATATGAAGAAAGCAAATGTGAGTATTCACCCATAATAAAGTAATACAATTGCATTATAGATTAAGGATTCTAGCTCATATCTATTTTTGCTAGACAAAACTTCTAACTGAAGGGAAGTTGATTTTGTTTTGTTTTCTTTTAATGCTGAGGAATGTTCAAAAACAATGAACCTTCACCTACTGTGGTATAGTTCATGTTGCCACTTACTTCCATTGCATATATTGACCACATTTTAATTACAGAGCTACTCACCTCTTGAAAATTGTGCTGAGTGAATTTATCAGCAATTCTAAGAAGTTCACGGCAAGAATGAGTATCAGCAAATGCTCGGATGCCAAGGCAATTGGAAGGATCCAACTGTCTTTTCAGAAACTCACAGCAGGCTTCTTGGATCTCAGCTAGTTGGAGAAGGCAAGCAGCTGGCAATAAGGTCTGAACATTGCCTTCTTCTACCGTAATTTGGGAAGTATATGCAAAGTCAATAAGCAATTCCATGGCCCTTTCATCAATGTCTCTGATCACCACCTCAGTCTGCCGGCTCTCTGCAAGTTCTCCTGTGAACATAGCTCGGAAGTAGGGGCTGCAGGCTGATAGGATGACTCGATGGGCATAGATCTTTTTGGCCCCCACAACCAGCACCACATCACACAGTTCCCGGTGCTTACGCAATAAATTGATAACTTCCAATGTTTGGCGAGGATGCTTGTCCGAGATGTAAGGCATACGAGCAGGTTGTGGCACTCCTTCTGGTAGTTTGTTGGGATCTCCAAGAGTGCAACGGCTTGTTACATCCATTCCGGTTTCACCTGCTCTATTACTAGTACACCTAACAACGGAACAAAGCAGTGAGACCACTGGATAGAAAATATTATACCAAAAATATAAAGTGGACAAGCATTTATTACTCCAGAAAGAGAATGAAAGAAAAGTGTCATAAGAAATTTCATCTTGATAGGTTTTTGATAAAAGTAATTCAACAATGAAAAAACAGTAGTGTAACTATTTGTATACCTCTATTAAAAGGGAAAGTGTACCTATTATAGCTGAAAATATATTAATAAGGAAATATAAGCTTTGGACTGAACAAATTTCTAAGAAAATATTCAGAATAAAATAGATGTAATAACAGATGTTCTTGTAGAATTCACATAGCCAAAGCTATGTGAAAACATTGAAAAGCCAAACAGAAATTACAAAACTCTTTGAGTTAGAATTCTCTTCCTTTTTAAAAAACTTCTAATGCTATATTTCAACTTTTTTTAAAGACATTCAAATTCCAAAAAATATATTTATAATTAGGAAAAGCTGTATATTTTAATTATTCAATTTGCTTGGTTTTTAACATAGAATCCAATGCAAGGGGAGAGAATCTGGAGATTGTTTTATGGTTATTTCACATTATTTCCAATATTTGTATATTTGTAGAATTACTTGAAAATAAAATACAATGATTTCAACAGGACATATAGACAATTTGTTCAACCATTATGATCTACAGCAGAGGTCCCCAACCTTTTGAACACCAGGGACCGTTGAAAGGTTTTTCTGTGGAGCAGGAGGGGGGTATAGTTTCACATACTGCCTGCATCCCGCGGATGGGGCTTTGTTTGTTTGCGTGGTCCGGTTTCTGACATGCTGCGGCTTAGTGCCAGAATGGGGATTGGGGACCCTTGTTCTACAATATATCTAATAATATGTCAAACAGTGCTTGAGTTATCGTCATCAAATTGAGCAGATGATAAACTGTTCTTTGGGGGATGCTGCTTAGATTTCAGTTATAATATTTGTTTTCTGGCTTGTATGTTTATAATTTGAAAAAAGTAAAATTTGATTTTAAAAAGATTATTTATGGCATCTAAACTTAGAAAAACAGTAGGAAACAATATAAAACCAAAGTGGATCCATGGGATGTTTGAATTTGTAAAATGGTCAAAAAAAGAAACTAGTAAAATGAGTATCTTCCTCAAGCAGAAAGATGCCACAATTTTAGTGGGCTCCCTAAATTTTCTGTAAAAAGAGAAGTAAATTTTTCCTGAACTCCCTATATAAATCACAGTATAAAAAGACATGGGTACAGAAAACAAGTCAAGATATATCCATGGTTTGTTGAACAATACATAGTGGCAATGTTTACATGCATCCCAAAGCCAAATATTTTGCAGCTTCGTTCGATGTGTGACCTTGACACCTGGTATTTCTGATATCAGAAGACAAAGTTGTTTTAAGAAAAATCTTGTTGAATCAGCCATCCAGCAAAGGTAAATCAGGCGAGCTTTATTTAAATATGTTTTCTATATCTTATCCATTATCCTATTTTAAATAGCTGTTGCATATTCAAGTTTTAATCTCAGTAACTACTTAGATCAGATTATTAATTAAATGATGGTGATTATTATTGTACAAGAAAGGCAAGTAAATAGTTGTAAGTCAAATAAATTATTATGTAGAACATTGGTAGGAATTAGTAAAGACCAACCCTTAAAGCAAATGTAAGACTTCATGGATATTTCCCAGTACAAGAATGATTTACCATTGTATTCTTCCAGCACTTTAGTTCCCAGTCTAGTTTACAGTCCAGGAATTCCCAGATGATCTCCCATCCAAGTATTAACCAGGCCTAACTTGTTCAGTTCCAAGACCAAACAAGACTGACCAAATGCTGCCAACTATTGAAATGATACAGATGCAAAATTCAAATTTATAGAGGATGCACTGAAGCACTTAAATGGGGATATGCAACTTCATGATACTTCAGCAGTCTCATAAGGCATGACCAACTGTGAGAGATGCTGACAGCTGTGATTCAGAAGCCATGAGAGATTGTAGATTACTCACTAATGCATCAGAGTCTATCTTTCCAAAAGCCAGTGACAACTGTAGTGGACCACTGTTCTCAGAGAAAAAAAGGACAAATGGAAAGCTTTAAACTACTATTGTCTAGTACGGGCATGTCAAACTGCCGGCCCACGGGCTGGATGCATCACACTGAAACCGCACCCACCCCATTACCAGCAATGGGGAAAAAGTCAAGATACGTCGCACAATGTCACATGACATCGCAAGTTTGACATGCCTGGTCTAATAGCTCAAATATTATACAGATTCTATATACTGATTATAAATCTTAATTTAGTATGATGTCACAATTCAATCTACTTAATTATTTTAATTACCTGCGCATTGGTTTTGTGTCCATGCACTGCAAAGAGAAGTCTTTAAATTATTGCTGGCCCTGGGCAAAGAATAAAAACAAAACTATGTAACAAAAAGGCAGCTAAAATAGTTTGTTATGTATTTAAGAAGTGATCAGATTATGCACCACAAAATAACTTCTAAGATAAGTAAAAGATCGTTAACAATTTCCACCTATTCATTTCTTTTTCAAAATTCTGCCAGTTTTATACTACAACCATACTAAATCTATGTTTAATTCTAGCTTTATCTTATACAAGCATAGATAATTTAATCTGATTAACATACATTGGACTGCATAAACAATTGTCCAAACTTTAGCACTGTCTTCTAAAATAAAAATGTATACTTATTCCTACATACAAAACAAACATTGTTATCATTATATGAATCAATTTGAAATTAAAAAAAGCAAGATTCGTTACTCACCCTGTGATAAAATAGAGGTACAACAGAAGCCTATTAATCAATAATCCTTGCTTTCAACTCATTTTATCCACTGAGAACAGCAAGGCTGATGACTTTATCATCCAAATGCCTAAAAATAAATTGCAAAGAATGTGAAATGGTTCCTCTTAAAAACCCATCATTGATACCACAAAATACTTCCGAAAGATGCTAAAGGTTCTTCTTAGTTTCAGATAGCAAAGCACATAAAAGGGCTATCTAAATTAGTGAACATAACAGACTGAACAAAACAGAAGGCAAATGATATTTACCAATTCAAAATGAAAGCTTTTCAAAGCCTGCTTTTGATCCAAGAGACCTGTTATGACAGTTGGAACCTCTCCGCCAGATACTGTTCATGCAATAACTTTCTCATTCCCTCCTCCACTATCCCTCACCAGCAACCTAGGTACCTTTCCAGTATTCCCTCATTATATGAACCTTCTAAACTTCATTGGAAGTTCATTCACTTTTTCCATCCCCGTAACAAGACCTTCAACAAGATATGGGGTGTGTCCATTATCTTCACATGGTTGGTAAAGGCATAAGCATGAAACTCTATGGATGATAGCTAATTAGTTGCAGACACTAAGCGGAGATTTCCTATCCAGTGGTACAACCAATACTGTTTCTCTTAAGGTGACCAACTACACGATTTATTTAAGAAACTTAAACACCGGTTCATTTTAGATATCTCCTGACCCTGCTTGAGCTACCTTGAAGACAGGCAGCTGCCCGGTATGTATTGGGGGAAAAAAATGTAGATTAGGTAGACCTGATGTAATTTTGCTGGGTGTTTCTAGGGTTACTCTTCCGCATGCCCTTCAGCCCAAGGTCTCGCCCCATCTCTTCTCCCCAATGATTCTTTCACAGCCTCCCCTAACCCAGTTGTCCGCGACCACAGGCATTGCCAATCCTGGAAACTGACCTCCCCGGTGGAAGAGGGAGCTTATTCTGAATTTCAGCGGCGGCGAGGCCAGAAGCCGTTGCAAGGAAATGCCATGTATCGGCGGGGGCTCTGTACAGTATGTTGTCCGAAGTGGGAGGAACGAAGGACCTTCCCGACTGCTACAGCCGCAATCATTCCCACAGTTCCCACTGGTGCCGGAAACTGCCAGTAGGCAGCGTTTTCACCCGCCGGAAGTAATCCTACAGTCTTAGTTTTCCGTGCAAGAACTTCAAGTGTCCATTCAAGCGTTCCGGCCTCAGCCAGGCTGCGGGGTTTCTATGGCGACGGGATCACTGCCTTTTTTCCCCCTGCCGTGTTCAGTAGCCAGGAAGCATCGGGAACTGGGGAACCGCAGCCAGGTTGGTTTTGAGCTGGGTCAGGATGAGACGGCTTGAGGTTCTGTTGGTAAAGGTCATGCCCGTTCATTCCATCGTTTTGATCAAGTATTTGTTTTACTGATTAGTGTACTGTATATATAATGATTCTGCACTCTAAAATTTCATAAATATGGTTGAAAATAATGTTGACTAGTAATAACATAGATAATCTGGTGAAGAGTATAGAGATCTAACGTGTTTTGGATGAAAAGATGAATGAGATTTTGTAGATAGAAATGATGATGCTTTGAATCTGTACAAACCACATCCCACTGTGTTATTTTTATCTTTATTTTTAAATTAAGCTAATCTTGTGAAAATGGAACCCTTGGAAGATAAAGCAGCTTCAACAACAAAAAATGAGCATGAAGATTTGGGACCTCAGGAGGAACCAGCACTTTTTAATCCTCTCCTGAGGGCTGCTTTAAGGGGTGATATGGAAGAAGTACAACAGATTTTTGAGAACTCAGAGGATCCTGATCATGAAAAAGCCAATAAGTTTTTAATGGAAAAAGATATTCTAGGGAGAAACCTACTATTTACCACTTGTATGGTTGGTCAGAATGACATTATCCAGTCCCTGGCAAAATATGGAGTTGACCTGAAGGATAAGACAGTCAGAGGTAAATAATGGTCTAGATCAGGGGTGTCAAACTCAATTTCATTGAGGGCCGCATCAGCATTGCGGTTGCCCTGGGGGGGGGTGGCCCAGTGGGTGGACGTGGATATTTATAAATCCTTCAAAGTCTTTAACCTTAAAAAGAAAATCCTTTTTTATTCATTTTAAGACTATAAATATTTCTTTAAATATCATATTTATATTTAGTTATAAATATAAATATTTAGTTATAATATTAGATATATTTATATTTATAATTAAATCAATATTTACTTTTGTGGAGAGGATATGAGCGAGATGGCTTGTAGTCTCTGTCTGGCTTAATTGCCTCCTATGTTGCTTCATCATATTTTGTTTACCTCCCTTTTGTGGTCAAATAATATTTTTTTTAAAAAAGAAGCTTTTTGTAGATCAGCTGGTATCTCTTGGCCAATTTATTAAAATTGAAAGATTTCAGCCTCCTCAAGAAACAATCCAAAAATGCAAATTATAACTTCCAATGTCAAATAAAGTGGTAAATTCATAAAAATGATGAAATAAGACCATAAGGTTTTAAAGCCTTATGTTTCTCCAGGAAAAAAGTACTCCAGGCTCACCTTATTTTAGCTCACCTTTGGCAACCCTTCTCATTGTTCAACAATAACGATATCCCAAAAATGGCTAGGTATTCAAAGAGGTATAACAGGCTGTTTCTGAAAAGAGCCTCTTTTAGTTTAATAATTATACAAAAGTGTTTAAGAAATGAAAGGCACAACTCATTGTCTATTTGAAAAACAAATACTAAAATGACTATTTTTTCAACAAAGAATGACTTTGACCCACCTCTAGCTTTGGGCATCTCACCTGATTACCTTGGTGTGCTGCTCCAGTTTTCTTTCAAACTGCTGCTGTATGGAGGATGTTGTGGGGTGATTCTGGAACTTTCCCTAACTCAGAAGAGTCATATAAACTTAGGGAAGTCAATTCCATTGTTTGTAAACTGAAAAAGCTTCAATCCAGAAGGAGCATTCCAGACTGGTCAGTCAACCATTTTCACTGGAAGTCTGAATTTCTATACCTCCACGATTCTCCTAAAAACTCCCAGAATTCCCAGCCAGCATTTGCCTCTCTTTGGCTTCTTTACCTCCACATTAATGTCATTAGCTCCTCTATAATGTTTTCACTGAACAATCTTTTTAACCTAGTTTTTCCATCTAAAATACTTGTTTCTTCACTTTGTTAGTGTATATGTGCTATTTTGAATACTTTATTTCTCTATCCATCAAATGTATATATGCGTTTTTGTAAAAATATATGAACAAAAATCGGTGGTTAAAAACAGCTGATAGCTTAAAGCATTGCTTCTCAATCTTGACTACTTTAATATGCCTGAATTTCAACTCCCAAAATTCCTCAATAAGCATGCTGGAGGGTGTCAAGGTTGAGAAACATTAGCTTAAAGAGGTAATGTATTAATCTTTTGGTTTTCAAGACTGAATTCATAGACATAGGAGTTTTTACAGAAAATAGTTGGCAACTCTGGATATATATTGTCAAAATACATATGATTAGGTGAAAGTTTATGATAATCTTGGATTAGAGAATATTTTACAAAAATACTGAGTTGGAAGTTTGTTGCAAAATTCAGTAATATGACAGTTAAGCATAAATGAGAATAAAAGGAATGCTTATTAAATGGCTTAACAAAACAGAGTAAGATGTATGAAGGCAGCTTTGTTTAATGTGTTAATGGATAAATGTATAAGGAATGTTTGTGAAGATACTCAATATATGTTTGCTTGACACTATACAGGTACCTTTGTACTGCATTTAGCTTATTATTTCTTATTCCTTTTCTGGGCTTTGCATGTATGTTCTACATGTATTTAAGCATTGAGTCAGAATGGCATTCTGAAAATTGTTTAATTGACTATCCAGTATTAATCTGATGATTTGCTAATTGGCAGTTGAGTTTTCTTGCATATAAAGGAATACAGTGTATAAAAAGGATTGCATACAGATATTCTGTGCACAGTTATATACATTGATTTGGTTTGTTCTCTCAGGTTATACACTTCTTCATTGTGCTGCAGCCTGGGGTCAGCTAAACACACTGAAAACTCTGATAGAGCTGGAAGCTGATATTTATGCAACTACATTTCGGGATGAAAACGCTAGAGAAATTGCAAATCGATATAAGCAAACAGAGTGTGTTGAATTCTTGGATTGGGCAGGTAATATTAATAACTGCTAAAATGTGGATTTAGCCTTACCGTACTCAAATTAGCTGAATTTTGAACAAGTACAAATATTTGATAATATTTTCAGTATATCAACTATATAATAACAAAAAGTCATTTTCATGGAGCATTTTATGAAGAAGTTGTTTTGTATATTGTTTTTAAAAAGACAATTTCCCCAAATAGTTAATTCGTGCTGTGAGACATTAATGATAGATCAATTCACATGAGGCTCTTTTAAAAAACAGAAAAAGTGTATTAGGACATTGTATTTAGGTAGAAAGGCCAAATACCTGACCTAGCTTTATTCTACAAAGGAAAACCCATATAGTTTGCTAGATAGAGCCTAGTATAGCTATCTATTCAAATTTCACAGGAGAGAGAAAGAAAGGAAAAAGCAGGAACTGAAACATCCTTTACAATACATGCAAAATGAAATCAAAGAAGGAAAGCAAAATCTCTTAGCACAAGGAAACTGTATACTGTCTTTCACTATAGGCAGTCCCGGACTTACAACCATTTGTTTAGTGACCGTTCAGAGTTACAACGGCACTGAAAAAAGTGACATCATCAGTTTTCACACTTACAATCATTGCAGCATCTCTGTGGTCACGTGATTAAAACTTGACATTTGTAACCTTCCCAGCCAGCTTCCAGCAAGCAAAATCAATGGGAAAAGCCATATCCATTTAATGGCCCCACCACTCACTTAACAACTGCTGTGATTCCCTTAACAACTGTGGCAAAAAGATCATAAAATGGGGCAAAACTCACTTAACAACTGCCTTGCTTAACAATGAAAATTTTGGGCTCAATTGTGGTTATAAGTTGAGGACTACCTGTATAATCAATAGGATGAGAAAGACAGCAAGACAATGTGTGAGAATTGGATTGTCCAACAAACACATTCTTTTCTAAGCATGTGATATGCATTGAAACTAACATGAAAAAGTTTTGTATTTCAAAGAGATAGATAAAAGAACCTCTGCTTTTCATTACATTTGATGCCTCAGTAATCAAAGGAGGCATATTTTTTCATACAACTATGTAAAACTTTATACTGAACTTCCTCTTACTATGTAGGAAGTAAAATTAATCACTTAGCATGCAAACTGTTTATCTAAATTTATAATCCCATTTTAATTATTGAATGACTTTCTTAATTTGTAATCAGATAAGAGATTATTGGATTTTTAATAATCCTAAAGCTTTTGGGCTGTTTTGCAGCCTGGTTGCACGTTCATGTTTATAACTGCTGTATGTAATCAAAAAATAGGTCAATTACTTATTCTCTAAAGACGGTGGAGTCTGTAGCACCTTTTCAAACCAAAACATTTTATTAAAAAGTATGAGCTATAGTTTCTGAAAATTTGTGCTTTTCATTAAAATTTGCTAGTTTGAAAAGTTATAAAAATTCCTCCTGATTTTTCTCTAAAGTTGGAGATGCTATCTTTATGCATCAAACTGTAATGCAGTTTGTTTAGTTTTGATTTAGCATGTTGCATAAAACAAAATTTTGACAGTAAAATTAATACAACAAAGTATGCTCTCTGGTATGTTTCTCTCCCACTAACTTTGATTTTGAATCTGTTGGTCACACCAAGAAGAATCCCAATTCTGGCTTTGCAATTCTTGTTAACAGTATTTTGAGTGTTATTGATACCGTCATATTTATTAGTTTGGGTAAAAATACAGATAGTTCTTGACTTAGGACTGTAATTGAGCCTGGAAATCACGCTGATGGTTAGTAGGTTATCACATGACTGATGCAATTTTACAACATTTTTTTGCAACAGTTGTTAAGCAAATCCAGTGTCATTAAGCAAAACCCATTGTCTACAATGGCGTTTTTTGCCAGAAACCAGAAACAAATGCTGATTTCTGGCAAAAAAAAAATAGTAAATTACAGTCACAGGACTGGGATACTTCAAATGGACATAAATATGGGCTGGTTGCTGAGCACCCAAAAGACGATCATGTGACCGTGTGGGTCATATTTGTGGGTCTTTTGGGGGGTGTCTGTCAGAACTTTAAACATCACTAAGTGACTGGTTGTAAGTCAAGGACTTCCTGTAGTGAGCCTTTTTTAATTCTTGATGATTTTGTCATTTTGTGAGAAGTGTCTGTACTTGATCAGTTCTCAAAGAAAGGATCATTTCTTATCAAAGGCGTCTTCAGAGCCAGAAATGTAACTGATCACCATACAAGAGTACTAAAACAAAGCAGGTAAAACGGTCTTGAGGATGATCAAACAAACAGGTTCAGAGGCTAAAGGGTAAAACAAAAGGCTCTTTTCCTTGCTTTTAATCTCTGGGCAACTTACATAAGCTTGACTTTTAGCTACTGAACCGCTCAGCTATCTTCTCATTCTTTTAGGATCACTTGCCTTTTGCCTGTTCTTTGCTTGCCTGTTTTCCCTGAGCAGAAATCATATCAAGAGAAAGCTGAGAAGAAAGGATTTTTCCATCTTTTTTTTTCTGTCACATAGAATTAACTATATTTGAAATGCAGCGAGCATGAAGAATGCTGAATTGCTGAAACAGCACTTTGCTTCCTGTGCAAAGGGAGCCTTTTATTAAAGTTCAGTCTCAGTTTTATATAACAGAGGTAAGATCATATTGAAGACTCACTGCATTATCTACCAAATACAGTCTTTAATTATTGATATTGTAGATGCAAATCACTTTGGTTTGACTTTAAAACATTTAATAGCCCCTTTGTGTCTTCTTCAGTACAATCCATAGTATCCTGTACAGAAACTAACTCAGCTTACCAAGCAACCTATATTGGAGCTTTGTTACTTCCTTTGCCATCTTATTGGATTAGAAGTAGCACTCCAAATATTCAGTAAGAGCTGAATATAGGAAGGAAAAAAAAATGGGCTTATACATTATATGGTGTCTGCACTGGAGCTATGATTGTGCAGACAAACTGGGAAAAGCTGTTCGTCTTCATCATATTCATTATTTTTTCTCTTTTTGTTTAATTTTTGGTACTTGATTTCTTTTTTGTGACGATGGGTGACACGCTTCATGTATTTCATCATCTTGGAAGTGTTCGTCACTAACTTGTAGAGCATTTTGTTCATGTCGTGGCTATAGTCATCATTTATTTCTGTGACAACTGATACTGCCGTTGTTGGATTCTCTGACTGTCAAGTGAAAAAAATTGCAAGTATGTTAATGTTGCTTTAAACTTATACATGATAATATAGTGGAGATATTAGCATTAAGGTAAAAAATTAAAGCTTGTTTTTAATATCACAAAATTAATTCACTGTATTGATATTTTTTGTTGTTATACCGAGCATTAATTTTATAAGTTCAGTAATTACCTGTTCATTTATAGATCTCTGTTTTGAAAATACAGGATTTTTTAAAATAAAAATAAGAAAAGAATCTTAAATGAAATAGCAGATGGCTTTAAACAGGAGCTTGATATATAGATAATAAGTAATGGATGCTTTTCTCATCATACAAATAAAAGTGTCAAGAAAGGTTGTTGTTAAATGTATATGATCAAAGTAATAAGACTGTTAACTTTATATGTAGAGAGATCCATATTTTAAACTTTGGAAATCACTGTTTACCTTAGAGTCTAGGTAAACAGACACCGAATATATCCAAAAATCCTACATTCAGATAGAGTTAAATACTTTTAGCCTTGCTTCAGCCAAAAGGAGTAATTTATATATTTATTATTACATTTCTTCTCAGCATGAAAAATAATTTTACTTAAAATTATTTATCATAAAGCTTTCTCTATAATATTACTTTATGGTAGCAGACTTTCATTACTATATTCTGCTTGTTACTCCTTCCTTAGATATTATCTTTGCTTTGGATTTTTGCCTAATCACCTAGGTTCCCCCTCTCCAATATTCTTCTCATTGTCTTGAATTGTTCTGATTTTCTGACATAAAAACATCTGTTACTTGTCTTTAGTCCCATTCTTGTTAGCTTTTATAAATATAACATCTGAGAGCTGAACTTTTTTTTATGGTGATACTCTTTCTGAGAGCTCAACTTTTTTATGGGTCTTTCTTTATAACAGAATTAGATATTACAACTTTTATTGAAAATGTACACCATATGACTTGGAGCTTCTTACTTTATATTGGGAATTATGTATATATACCATTCAAAATCTAAATTTGACAAAATTTGATTGAACTTAGAATACAGGTTGGATTTAAGATATTATCATGGTTTGTTGCACTATTATTATTATTACTATTATTTTTAAATTTTATTTGCCACCTATCTAGCCATGAAGTTATTCTTGGTGGCTTACAATAATAAAAAGGAAGAAAAATGAAAAAGTGTGTAAATAGAAGTAAAATAATAAAACAATAAACAATGATAAAGAAATGCAACGAGAATATATCAATATAACCAAAAAATGGATGGGTGAAGAGCAGAGATCAAAGTGGGGGGGGGGAGAGAAGTGGAGTCTGCCATCAATCTAGGAGACACCTCCAGTGTGGAACTTCCCCATTTGTTCCCTTGGCCAACTGGCAGAACCTTGCCTTAAGTCTCTTGCAGATTGCTGACATTGATAATTTTTAAATGCAAAACAATATAAATCATATATGGACTAGATTATATCAGATTTTAGCCATTCAAACAACTAACAAAATTACAATTCTTTGAAGGCTAAGAGATTCCCTCCAGATGAATTGGGATCTTAACTCTTAGAATTCCATGCTGAAGCAGAGAATTCTGGGAGCTGCAATGAATTGGCAATTATTTATTGTACAGAATACACACACACACACACACACACATACACACATACTGTACATATATTGTGAAGAACCAGATATGTGAGGACCAATCCAATAGCATTCCCACTAAATCTGCTTCAGATAATTGGAGAACAGATATTGGGGATGTGAACAGGATGAAATAATTACATCATCAGCAGACAGTATTATTTTTATTTGATAGGATTCTGAGTTAGGGATAGGGAATGAAAGCTAGAGGTCAGGCAATGGTATAATTGGGAAAGGATGAAGCATCCTCTTCATTGCACAGCTGGTATCCAAATCTTACCTTTGTGCTTTTTGTCAGTTTCAGTTTGGGTAAAAGGAAGTGTACAGCTAAACCTATAGCTATGACAAGTGCCACTTTGTAACTAGCATATAATACTTCTAGGCACCCTTTAGATAGTCCTATGCCAGTAAAACACTGGTATATGCGACATATTGAGTTATGAAAGAGGATAGATTGCTCTTTAGTCACCAATTCCAGATCCTGTGGAGTCATTTCCCAAGCAACTCTTGTCCAGGCTGGTCGTTCACAAAAACCAAGAACATCTTGCATCAAGAAGATAGTCCACAAAAGGAAAATCTGGCAAGAATGACGCAGAAACATTTTATGCTATTTTCAGACAAAAATGCCTCTATGTAATGGATGTTCCTTGTGTAGGAGTTGCAGCAACTGGCTTTTGAGGTTCATTATGTACTGTCACAAAAGAATCTTAATCAAATAAATCCTTCCATGATAACCAAGCTTCCTGCCTGGGCACTAGAGAGATTTGAATGTGGTAATATTAGCCCATCACCTGTGAAAAGATTCTGTGATGTCATAAAGAAGCTCCACATATTATAGAAGAGTGTCTATGAAGTCAGTAAAAACTGAAGGAAAGTGTTTCACAGTAAAGAAATGTAGGGCAATGCAAAATATCTAAAATTCGAAATATCCTCCTACTCTTAAAACAAAATGTACATTTATCAAATGATTAACTATAGACATGTCTTGTCTCTCGTTCCTGTGCCATAATGTTATTAACACAAAATGTACATCATATAATTATTTATATATCCTTCCACTGTTGATCCTTGCCTTTCCTTACCTCTCTATATATTTTAGATTGCACCATGTTGGGAATGAGCCTGTCATACTGTATTTGTTCCTTTAAAAATGCCATGTTTACAGTTGATATTAGATAAAGAAATCTTTAGTACAGTTGACTTGAAAATGTTGCCTAATTAATGGCATTCCTAGGGGAAGAAGGTAAGATGTGTTAGTTAATGAAAATGCAATATAGATGTCATGAAAAAAATGTCAGCTTGTATCTGAAATAATGAGAAAATTAATAGTTATATAGAGATATTTGAAAACCTTATCATTATAGTCTAATCTCATATGTCAAAATGTGTAAGCATACATAATGTTTTCCCTAATTCTGAATAAGGCATTTTGCAAAATCATAACCTAGAATGAATATTTACTAAAAAATCATTGATAAATGTCGTTTTATTTTTCTAATAAATGGTTGTTTCTGAATGTAAAGTGCTTTAATCATACTAGAAAAAAATAAATTCTATTGAATTTTAATATAGAAAGATGTTATGGAAATTCTTTAAATTATTATTCTAATTATCTTCCCCAAAGCAGTATAAACATGACTTGAGGTTTTGTTAATTTGCTTCTCAGAAGATATCCTTGCATTACGTTAGACGGTGAAGGGAGAAGACATACCTCCATGATTTATACATACATTGGCGTATTTATAAAGGAAAGAGAGGAGATGAAGAACAGAAATGAAATTCTATAGTGTCTTTTACTATCCTATACTTCTTGCTCATTACACTGACCACCAGGAAGTGGGCATTATATGACCAGTTTCCTTCTATTTGGTATTCATCAGGTATAAATAACCAGATATTTGGTGGGATTCAAACCTTCTTATAGGGACTTGAACTCATGGACATTTGGACTTATAGAGGATGGGAAGGATGTATGGAAGCAAAAAAAAACAAAACATAAATGGGGTCATAACATAATATATCATGTGTAATTCTCCATCCTGAGGGCTTAAGGGAAGTAGATTATTTACACATTCTGATAGATCGCCTATTTCCGTGATGTGAACCTATGGCACGCATGCCAGAGGCGGCACGCAGAGCCCTCTCTGTGGGCACGCACGCTGTCGCCATCCTGGGCTATCCCCTACCTGCTGCAGCTGACTCTGGTTCCCATCTTCCATTGACACTGCCCAAATTGCACGTGTCCCTCTCACTGCACGAGGCTGCTGTTCTTGCTGCCACTGTTGATAACCGCTCCACGCACACATGCACGCATCGGCCGGCCTACCGCTTCCCTGTCTCTTTTGCTATGTCCTGTCCCTGTGCCACAGTCTCACTGGAAGCAGGGTTTTTGGCGCCTTGAGAGCAGAGGGGCTGGAAAAGTCCCGGCCAGGTGGGGAGTATACATGCACTCTTCTTGAGGAGTTTCTCTCTGAATGCTCGTACTTCCACATCGCCAGATGTGTGAAGGCGTACGCGGGCTTATCTCAGGAGAGGCACTGCCCATGTAGGAGGTGGGAGAGTTTCGTTGTCATGGACATGGAAGCAGTAGGAGGGCTGATGCGTGCCATAGGTTCGCCATCACGGAAATAGGCGATAGAGGGGAAGGTGTGAGGCAGGTGGGTGTTTTAACGTGCCCGTTTTTGTTGCTTTGGCTGCCACTGTGACATTGGATGTGTTGCTAGAGAACTGCAGCATGACAGCCAAAGTATTTTGTGGTCCATAGCAGAGCACGATGGCGTGCTGTCTTGACATGACATGCTCACTGAAAGTATAGTAAGTTAACCCAATTTTGTACATTTTTTACGACGCAGAACTAATAAACTAATCCTGGAAGATGGGTGTGCTTCCAGGGCTTAAAAAGGCCTCTTTTAAGAGGGCTTAAAAAAACTAGTTCAGGGCTTCCTCTGAATCCAAAAAATAACTGTAGAGGAGAGAGGAGTTGGGGCAGGATCAGCGCTGGCTGGGAGGCTCTGCTAGAGCTGTGCCGTTCCAAGATGGAGGTCGGGAGCTCTGGCGGCCTCCATTGTGGCTGGTCGGCGCTGCTGAGGAGGACGAGCTAGGTGATGGGTGATTGGACTGGGACGGCCACCAAGGCTGGAGCTCTGTTGGAGTTCGGAGGGCAGCTGGCCGGAAGAAAGAGGGAAGAGGAGGGGAGAAGAGAGGAAGTGATTGGAAAAGGAAGGGGAGGAGTTTGGTGGTAGCGTGAAGGAGAAAAGGGGGAAAAAATGGAGGGACAGTGAGAAAGGAGGTTGGTTGATTACTCTTCTGCTTCTGTGGGGAAAGCCAGACCGAGTAGGGAAGGGGAAGGAGAGAGGTTTCTGTGGGGCAAGTCTGAAGGACAGAAGGGAATAGAGAAGGAGGGGTTCCAGTGGGGCAAGGCCAGAGGGAAAAGAGATAGAACAAGGGAGGTTCCTGTGAACTGCTGAGAGAGGCTGACCGCCATTATCGCACGTGAGCTGCCTGCCTAGAGACTGACCACCATTATCGCACATGAACTGCCTGCCTAAAGATTGACCACCATTATCTCATGTGAGCTGCTGCTGACAGACTGACCATCACCTCACATGAGATGCTGCTGACAGAGACTGAGCACCACTGCACCACAGGTCTCGGCCAAGCAAAGGTGTCCAAGTAAGGGACCCCTTGGACCAAGCAGCCAGACCAAGAGAGAGCCAGGAGAACCCGGACTTCAGCGTCCTTTCGGGGATAGCGCTACATAACATTAAGTCAGTAAGCTGCAATAATGAATGTTGTGCAAATGCAGCCAGCATCTCTATGAAGAAAGTGTTTTGATGTTACGCTTGCCCCCAAGCAGCAGCACTAGGCAGCCGAATCCTGCCAAAAGTTTCTGGGAGTTGGCTGCAGACTTGTATGAATAGCACTGTAAATGAAAGCTTTGGTGCAACCACACACCACTAGTTTGGAATTCCGGAAAGCCTTTTACAGACTACACACAAATGTCTCTATACACACATCGGCAGGGATGTTTCTTGATGCCAAAATGCAACATCTGAAGTGGGGCTGTTTATGCAGTAAACTGTAGCAGGCAGGAATGGGGCTGTGCTTGCCAAACTTACTTTGGTTAGACTGTAGTGGCGAGTTTCTATGTTGAGCATAACTGTGGCTGGCTATTTTGCAGCTCAATCTGCTCTGTGAACTAAATCACTGGTTTTGGTTATGTAAATTAACCCAAGCATTTGGATTAATATTATTTAGCACATATACAGGTAGTCTTTGACTTACAACTGTGGGAAAATTCCAGAGAAAGAAATATTTTGGGAAATATTAAAAAGGCAGAATATATTTCCCCAAAGGATTTTAAAGGCAGAAACCAACCAACCCCCCAAGTCTCTCTGCCCTAGAGAGAAACCAGGTCTGCAGAAATGCAGATAATCTTGTCAGAAAGATTGGAGTCAGGAAGCTGGGATTAGAAAGAAAGATCCCTAGAATCAATAATCCCTCACACACAAAAAATCCAACACAGGACATAGTCATCAACCACAGCCCCAGGGAAGCAGGATATGACCTTTGGGACATAATAGGATTAACCCACCACCATCAGAATACCAGAAGGGCACACTCAGACTCAGGTCAGGTCAGGGATCTTTCTTCCTAATCCTAGTTTCCTGACTCCAATTTTTCTGACAAGATTATCACATCTGCATTTCTGCAGACCTGGTTTCTGTTTGGGGCAAAGACAGTTTGGGGGGTGGGTTGGTTTCTGCCTTTAAAATCTTTTGGGGAAAGATATTCTGCCTTTTTAATATTCCCCAAAATATTTCTTTCTCTGGATTGTTCCCACAAGAGTATTCTGAATTTTATTCAATGCATCTCTGAGATGCCACTTAGCAGATTTGTAGCTTGCTTGGATGAAATTAGGCTGTTTATGAATGAAAAAGGGCAGGAATACATACCTACAGCTCACTGATATGGTCTGGCTTACCATCCTCATGTTTTTTATAGATTTTACACTACATTTCGATGTAATGTACTGAACAAACAACTACAAGGTGTAGAGAAAATAACAGAAAGGATATTTTGTGATATCAAAACATTTGAGAGAAAACTGCAGGTTTTTGAAAGAGACCTTGAAAGTGGGCAGCTGAAATATTTTCCAAATATAAAAATACATTTAGAAACTTTTATGTTTGCAACCATCAGGAAATCTACAAAGAATTTTCTAGCATTGTAGCAACTGCAAAGGTGAATTTTATTAACAGATTTTTACACTTCTGTAAGATGGAGATACCCTGTGTTTTCTTACTTCTTCAGTTAAAGCCATATTTAAAGAACTTGATCTTTCCTACTTAGATTTTTCCTAGGTTAGATTTAGGAAATCTGGAAATGGAGCTATTGGAATTTAAAGAAAGCTTTATCTGGAAAAATAAATTCTATGACCTGCATGAAACACTTGAGAAGATAGAAGGGATGTCAAAGGACAGCACAGTTAGTTCTGAAAATGAAATCCTTAAAGTGTGGAATTCTCTGCCAAATAATTTTAAGTCAATGAAAGCACTTGGGATTGCTTTCCTTACTTTGGATCATCTTATGCTTGTGAGCAGCTGTTTTCAGCTTTGAATTATATCAAATCTGACACCAGAAACAGACTGACAGATGACCTGAGTGCTGCATGTGTTGCTCTCAAACTTACAAAGTATGAGCCAAGATTAGACAAACGATTAGCATGCATGCAACAGCAAAAATCACATTAATTCTTCAAAAGCATGCCAAATGCAAACTTTTACCTTTCAATAAAAAGTTGTTTGTATCATTGAAAGCTCTGTTACTGTGTTTTTGGGAGGTGGAGTGAGTGGGGGAGTTTTACTTTTTGCCTCATTTTGCTCTTTTAAGGAGAACGCACCGCCAACGCCCTCCTGCATAGCCAGAAGCCTTGTGCCATCATCGTTCGCCTGCCGCACTCCCCCAGCCCCTCTCTTTCTCTTCCTTTGAAACAAACAACACCCCCCCCCCACAATCCTCCCATTCCTGCCTTCTGATTCAAAATGAGAGAAAGCTTTTGTGGTCTTTACATATTTAAACTGCAGCTAGAAGGAAGTGGGGAAGAAAACCATCGTGAGACACTCTTTTGTTTTAATGTGTTTTTCCTTGTCACTTTTTGGACTTTTCATCCTACTTTTGTGAGAGGGCAGCGTTTGGAGGGGGTTTAGCTGCCCCCTTCCCCTCCAAGCCATCAGCTGAGCAAGACACCTGCTTCTCTGCACTCTTCCCCCGTCTGAGGCTTTCGTTGTCTTGAGCATTTCTGTTGAGGATTGGCAGGGAGGGCTGTTTGTTTTTATTCCCCTCCCATCTGCTGGGTGGTTGCAGCAGGTTTTGGTCTCTTCTTTCGGTTTCTGGTTGTGTTTCCAATAAAAACATACTCTCCAACAATTTCTTTCTTTCTTAGAAATGTCTCATATAATTTAATCTCTAAAATGGATTGCTCTCTGGGAAAAATGAAAAAAAGGGGGGAAATCTAGATTAATTCTTTAAAAAAAGAAATCTTGATTTTCTTACTAACAGGCCCCAGTATGTGTGAGCTGGAACAAGTATTTCTAACACCATTTTCTTGAGCACGGGTTATCCTCAGGACTGTGTCCTAAGTCCGCTGCTGTTCACCCTGTTGACCCATGACTGTTGTGCTAGGTTTGCCACCAACCATATTGCCACCAACCATATATGGACGATATAACAATAGTGGGTCTTATTCAAGATGACAACGAGGGTGCTTACCGCAAGGAGGTTGAGGGTTTGGTGAACTGGTGTAAGAAAAATAGCTTAGTTTTAAACATTGGAAAAACCAAAGAGATCATTGTTGATTTCAGAAAAGGCAGGTACAGCCGCACTCCTCTATGTATTAATGATTCACCTGTGGAGATGGTTTCCAGCATCAAATTCCTGGGTGTGCAGTTAACGAATAGTCTGGCTTGGTCACTCAGTAGTGAGACCCTGATAAAGTGGGCACAGCAGCGCCTGCATTTTCTGTGTAACATGAGAAAAGCAATCTTTCTTCCCCTATCCTTACCACTTTCTATAGAGGGATGATCGAGAGCATCTATCATACAGCATTACAGTCTGGTGTGGAAGCATCACTGGTGCAGAGAGTGATGAGGATGGCAGAAAAGATTATTGGTAGTTTACTCCCTTCCATCCAGGACATAGCATATAATTATTGCTTGAGCAGGGTCTGCAAGATTGTCTGGGACAATCTGTTTTTCCTGTTACCTTCTGGGAGGAGGCTCTGTGGTATCTGAAGCAGAACATCCAGATTCAGTTATAGTTCCATTCCATACAGTATTAACCTTGTGAACTCCAAAGCTTCCTCTTTCTGTTATGTATTCAAGATGGACAGTGATTAATATTTATATGTTATTTGTACGTAAGGGTGCAGGTTTATACATATGTTGTATATAGCATGTTTAAATGTGTATTATGTATGTGTACACTTTGAGAGCAAACAACTAAATTTCATTTTTATAATGACAAAGATTATTTTAAAAAAATTCTAAAAAATATTGCACAGAATCTAGTTAACTTCAGCTGTGGTAGACCTGCTAATCATATAGTATGGCAGTATTTCTTGGATATTCTTATGTCTCTTTATTCTCCCTTTCTTTTCAGAGGCCAAGCAGAATTTACGCAATTTTATTTTCCAAATCCAGGCAACAATCACTGATCCTGAGAAAGTTCAGGGAAAGCTGAATAAAGAAGATAAGGTATATTATTTAATAATAATTAATTATAGATTTTCCTTTATATTATGGTGAGTTTCAATTTGGCTAGTTTAATCTAAAGCTAGTCTAAATGTGTGGTATGTTTGGTATAGTTAAAAAGACATGTTTAATGCTAAAACATATTTGATAGTTACTGATTCATGGTTACTGATAACTTCTGATGACTGTATTGATGACCATATAAAAGTATTATAGGGTCATCAGAAGTTTAATTTCAAATGTCAAACTACTTCTTCAGTCTTTTGCAAGGACTAAGTAGGAAAAAATGTCACATGATGTAGGGGACCTCTAGCTAACATTGCCAATTCCTAATCTTTTTAAATCAAGATTTATTGGTGACTATAGATAACATATATTCTAAATAACTAATTGTTATATATAGTATTTTCATAAACCACACATGGCTTTTAAGATACAATAAAAAAAGAAATTGTAGTAAAAAAATTATCTATATTGTTTCACACAAATAAAAACAAATAGCTTGGAATTGATTGATTATAGTTCCAAATATTAATTTCACAGATATTTAAAGTGAATATATGAACAAATGCTTCTTTATATTGAAATATCTCTAGGAAGTTCAGTATTTGACTACCAAAGTTTTATATCTGAATTCATGCATGGAAATTTAGAAACATATTTAATACAATTTTGTAACTATACACTATTTCCCAGATGTTTCTTTCAAATACATCATATATCTTGGTCTTTGCTACCTATTTGACAAAATGGCAGAGCAAATATGCTAACAATGTCACACTTTTATTTTACTGTTCATTTTTCATATACCGTATATCTGAAGAAAAATTTCACTTAGAATTTCACTATATTTGAAGAATTTCAACACTGGTGGGTGATCTCCCATTACCTTTTTAGTCAGAGAAGCTCAAAGAGCCTGCCTACTCATTCTTTGCTGTAGTTGTTGCCTTCACTCTTTGAGAAACTACTTCAATCTGCCATTTCTTCCTCCGGACATCCAGGGTAGATAGTTTTTGATAGATTTGCATTTGTAATTTGCTATTATTTTCTGTCCTTGTGAGGCTATTCAGGAAAAATAAGTAGTATGTTGTTATTTTTACTTCCCTTATGAGTTATATTCCTTTGAAGATGTTGTTTCATGCATCTTCTCTAGTTCCTTATATTACGATGGTGTTGTGTACACATTGCCGATCCATACTTTGTATGTGTGGAATGCTATATTTTCTAGACACTGTGTTATGATCCCATGGGTGTTCCTCTGATTTATTGTATATTTGTCCATAAAACTGAAAGCAAGTAGTGAGACTGACCTTAAAAATATCCATGATTCTGAGTATTTCAATCTTTGTGTATTTGGCTAGGTTGGGTGTGTTGTGTAGTTCTGCTGCCCTCTTTTGCTAGTTCTGGATGTAGGTACATCAAAAGTGCTGTGACATTCTCTTCTATTTTCCTAAGTTTGTACTATGAGTCTTGTGACTAGGAAATTAGGTTCACTTATTGGTTACTGAATCACGCAAATGATAAAATTATTTTTAAAATGGATGAGAGAATATGATTACTTTTGTGTAAAAAATTATATGTAAAACATACAGTGGAAAAGCAGATTAAATATACAGTACTGCTTAAAACAGTGATTTTAAAAGGATCTCCAATGTCTCAAAAATACATGCAATGTAAGTTAACAACCTAAGCTGATATTGTCTATTACCTATGTCATTCAATTACTGACCTAGCATAGATAAATGTCAAATAGCTACACACCAAAGTAAATCTAAAGTTTAATTCCTGACTACATGTTTACATATGCCTTAGAAATAAAGGATCACTTGACTTCCGGTTTGATGGGCGCAGGAAGACAGGGCTCCATCTCCCACGTTAGATTTCATTCCGCTGGAGACCCTAAAAGGGCTTGAAAGTCACCCCAAAGAGGTGACGGAGAAGGAGGGGACCCTTGTTGATTGCGGGAGGGTGGCGGTCCTTCTGTTTGATCTGAGGAAGCCCTCCAAACCGGCGGGGGAAAGATTGGCTACATTTGTGTGGCCAGTCAGAAGCTGCTGACAACTGAAGAGAAAAAGCATTAACCAGCAACTTTCAAGCAACATGGATGGAACTGGGTGAAACCCTATCCTCTCTTTATGACTTTAAGATTTTTTCCTGGGAAAAAACCGCCCAAAGCAAAGAATCCTCCACGATGAGAGAGGGAAGGGGAATTTCCATCCCATTCCCTCAGGAAAAGAAAAGTGGTGAATTAATTGCTTGGGGAAAAAATAGAGAAAATTACAAGATTAATTTGGAAGCAATACACATATATAACTTTGAAATTTGGAGACTAAAAGTGCTTTTGAGATTTTTTTTTTTAAAGAGACTTAAAAAGCTTGTAATATAAATTTGGATGTAAAAAGCTGGAAGATGACATTAATGACATCTAGTGGCGAACTACAGCACAATTTATTATGCCTTGGCTCAAAGCTCAGATTCAGATAAGACTCTTGTTGTTTTCAGAAACTTTCACTTTTGAAGACTGCAGCTGGGAAAAGAAAAAATGATGAGACTAAAAATAACACAAAGGAGATAAAAGAACAATTCTTTAATCTAAATCTACAAACTCAAAAAATGACTACAAAGAAGGAAATAGCAACCCACAAAATCAAAGGAAAATCAGAGGAAGCAGATCCAAAGATGGAGGAGCTAAAGAAAGGAACTAACAGACAGACTCAGACAAATGAAGAATTAGAAGATGTAGCAATAATATCGGAAATGGAAAAGATATCTTACGTGTCAAGATCTCAGAACACACTTGAGGATAAGAAAGAGGAGCTGATTGAATGGAAGATAGAGCTGTTAGGAGAATTGTTGGAAATTGGAGGAGGGAGGCTGTTTAATGAATATCAATGGGCTAAGTGTCCTTCCAAAAATACTTTAATCAAATTGCCTTTCTTATTCCAAACAATATGCACAAAAATAGAAGAAGAATTACTTAATGATTCAAATGCATTGACTTTAAAAGTTAGTTGGCAAAGGAAAAAAGCTAAAGTAAGACTGAGGAAATAGAGGTTTTGACCCATTAGGTGGGATATTATACTGTGTTTGAACATGGCTGACAGTAGATAATTGTTAGAAATAGAAGTATTATTATAACTAGAAAGATAGGATTTATAATTAGAATACTATATTTTGGTATGAGAAGAGAAATATGAAAATGCTAAGAGGGTTTGAATAATGGAAGCTTTTGGTTACCCAAATATAACTTATGATGAGAAATTATAAGCGATAGAGACATTTTGAACACAGATGGGAAATTAAATTTTTTTTAAAAAGTGGGAAAAACAGGATATTAATTGAACAAATGGATATTAAGGGCAAATGCAATTAAGATGTATTTTGGTTAGAAAAGATATTTTAAACTAACATTATTGATATTATTAGGAAAATGTAACAAAGATGTTGATATTCAATTGTATATGTATTAACAATAAGAATTATATTGACCTAATGTGGAAAAATATGTACTACTGGAAGAAGAGAGGAAGCACTGGATGGTGTAATATTGGGCCTAGATTGAAGAAGTTAATATATACCACTGAATTACTAATGGACCCAGAGCAACACTTTGTTATATTAAGTACTTATGATTGTAAAACTAGAAAATTAATAAAATATTTATTAAAAAATAAAAATAAAGGATCACTTGCAGCAAACAATTCTTACTTGCTTGTCCTGGGTTTTTCCTGATCTTTATGGATTGCAACATGAAATCAGAGGCACAGGATCATTTATCTACAGAGGCAATACTATACTACCTTAGCTACTTCTCATGCCTTGCTACCCAACATTTGGCTTGACTCTTAAAACATAGGTCTTTTCTTACACAAAAGTGAAAGGAATGAAATTTCCTTTTGCTGCTGTAAGCGAACTTCTGCAGGATATAGCTTGAGACATCATATTGTTGGGTAGCAGCTGTCCATGTAAATGCTACAAAAGGAATTGCCATGCTTATCTTTTTGGGAGATACAAAATCTATATGTATTATCCCATAGCTTTCTCATCTTTTATTAAAATAGAACAAATTCCTCAAACCCCACATACCTTTAGCATTCTTCCTTTTTTCTTCATGCAAGGTTTTAAGCTTAGACTTTTTCTGATCATCGCTCAACTTTGCTGTGGTGTCTCCATATCTTGAAGATGACATATAAAGGCTAGCTCAGGGGTAGGCAACCTTGGCTCTTTTATGACATGTGGACTTCAAAAATTCCTGACCAGCATGGCTCAGCTTGGAAATCTCTCCCTTTCCCCTCAGCATGGCTGGCTCAGGAATTCTGGGAGTTGAAGTACATGAGTCATAAAAGAGCCAAGGTTGCCTACCACTGGGCTAGCTCAACAGAGTGCTGATGGTGAAACTGGAAGCTTGCCTACATTCCTATCCTTTTCTTTTGCAGGTTCTGTTTTGTGGAGATGCACATGAAGGCTATTGTAAAAAGAGGTTTCTGGAGTTACTAGAATGTTAAATGTTCTCTGTTTCTGTATTTTGAAATTTTTCAAGAACCCTAATGAAGACAAATAAATATTTGAAGAAGTTAAACAATTTCCATTATCTGAAATCATTCAAAAGTTACTACACCTTGCATGCCTTATATTTTGGCTTAGATTGCTGTTTGCTAAAATGCTGTTTTTTGCTGATACTCTTGTTTATTCTTTGTATAGACAACCTCCATCAAGGCCTGTCAGGCCAAGTTGGACTGGCTTGAAAATACAAAAGAGCCTGCTACACAAGAATTTATTGATCAGAAGCAGCAGTTGGAGGACATCATGCTTCCTATCTTCACAAAATTGTCTGCACCACGTGAGTATTTTTAAGCTCACCTTTGGATAAAAGAACTCTCACATTTTTAATTACTATTTTATTTATAGGAAATGTTTTCTGCTGGCCCATGCTAGGTGTTGAATCTTTGCATAATCCAGAATAAATTTCTCATAGAGATTTACTTCCACCTTCTACCTTATTAATTAAGTTTACTGAAAACCTCACTCCTCCCAATTCTTCTAGGATTTTCAGTGCCCCATCAAATGACAAATCTATAGTAGTCCTTGCTTACCAACCACAATTGGGTCCAGTCACTCTTTCACTAAGCAAAACATTACGTGACCAGGTTGGATTGTTGGATTTATGTCTCTCCCACTATGGTTAAACTGATCACTGCACATCATTAAGCGAGACATAATATGACAATGACTTGTTATTTCACTTTCCATTTGCTTGTGGAAAGCATCCAAATTTGCTTGTTGGAAAGCATCCAAATTTCGATCCCATGACCACAGAGATGGTACAATTGCCATAAGTGAAAGGAATGGTCATAAGGTTATATTGCCAGTGCCAAAATACTTCAAACAGTTGCTAAACAGGCCTGTTAACAAGTTCTTCTGGTCTTTGGTTTTTGCCAAACGTATCTTCAGAAATTACTGGCAAATAACTCTAATTCTGCCTCATTATTGTTCCAGAAGTCCTGGTCTTTGTCTAGATCTACAGCAAACTTTATACTTGCCCCGATATTCTTTCTGGACAGCAAAGGTTTCTTCCTGGTACACCTCTCATATAGATCTAATTTATACCACTTCTTTCTAATGATAGACTCATGCACTTTGACACCAGTAGTAAAGAAAGCTACCTATAGATCTTGTGATGAAATTCTGGAGTTCTTAGAGACTTCTTTTAGCCTGGCCAAGTTGGCAGTTGTTTGAAATCTTTTACACTTGTACAGGGAGGGGAAAAAATGTTTGATCCCTTGCTGATTTTGTATATTTGTCCACTGACAAAGAAATGTTCAGTCTATTTTAATGGTAGGTTTATTTTAAGAGTTAGAGACAGAATAACAACAAAAAAATTCCAGAAAAATGCATTTCAAAAAAGTTATAAATTGATTTGCATTTTAATGAGTGAAATAAGTATTTGACCCCTTCGCAAAACATGACTTAGGAATTGGTGGCAAAACCCTTGTTGGCAATCACAGAGGTCAGATATTTCTTGTAATTGGCCACTAGGTTTGCATATATCTCAAGAGGGATTTTGCCCCACTCTTTGTAGATCTTCTCCAAGTCATTAAAGTTTTGAGGTTGACGTTTGGCAGTGTCAGAATCCAATTATATTTCATCTCTAGTTATCGACTATGGAAAACCCCATTTCTGCCCTCTCTAGATTCTGTCATACTACGAAGGGGAAGGGGGATGAGCAAAGGGGTTTTATGGCTCTCACTTCCTTCGGTACAACTTCAAAGGGACTGAATGTGGATATCACCAAAAGGACTAACCATAACAATAGGGCCCATCAGCTTTCATCTACTCCTCTCTGAAGTCTCCCTTCGGCCGGCCGTGAGGAAAAAGGGGGTGGAAATGTTAACGCCTGGGATTGTCGCTGGAAGGACGGTGGGGTGGGGGGGCTACTTGGGACCACTTAAAACTTTGAATGGGAGGGCTTGGGCCCCAGGTCCTGTCTAGAATGCCTGCAACCATCTTCTCTTAATAGAGATGCCTGTTGGAAGAAATATTCCAAGAGTTCTGTCTTCTTAAGATGCAAAGTGGGGTGGGTCCTTACAGGCAGCTTGAACCTTCGGCTTCCTCCACATATCTTCTATGGGATTAAGGTCTGGAGACTGGCTAGGCCACTCCAGGACCTTAATGTTTTTCTTCTTGAGCCACTCCTTTGTTCCCTTGGCCGTGTGTTTTGAGTCATTGCCATGCTGGAATACCCATCCACAGCCCATTATCAGTGCCCTGACTGAAGGAAGGAGGTTCTCATCCAAGAGTAGTAGAGAAATGACTATTCTGAGCCACCTAAGCCCCACCCACCCCACCCTCCGTGCACAAGCTCTGATTGGCCGGAACAGAAGCGTATTGGCATAAACCACATCCACACTTTGGGAAATCCCCCACACCCTCTGCAGACGAGTAGTCCCATAACAGAAAATTGAAAATACATTAAAAAAAATCTTCTATATAAAAAAAAACATGTCTACAAAAATGCAGTTCTATCCATTCTTTATGCTATGCTGGAATACCCATCCACGACCCATTTTCAATGCCCTTGCTGAGGGAAGGAGGTTGTCACCCAAGATTTGATGGTACATGGCGCCATCCATCGTTCCTTTGATGCAGTGAAGTTGTCCTGTCCCTAGCAGAAAAACACCCCCAAAATACGTTTCTACCTCCATGTTTGACAGTGGGGATGGTGTTCTTAGGGTCATAGGCAGCATTCCTCCTCCTCCAAACATAGCGAGTCCAGTTGATGCCAAAGAGCCTGATTTTTGTCTCATCTGACCACAACACTTTCACCCAGTTCTCCTCTGAATCATTTAGATGTTCATTGGCAAACTTCAGACAGGCCTGAACATGTGCTTTCTTGAGAAGGGGAACCTTGCGGGTGCTGTAGGATTTCAGTCCTTCACTGCATAGTGTGTTACCAATTGCTTTCTTGGTGACTATGGTCCCAGCTACTTTGAAATCATTGACAAGATCCTCCTGTGTAGTTCTGGGCTGATTCCTCACCGTTCTCATGATCCTTGAAACTCCACGAGGTGAGATCTTGCATAGACCAGACCAAGGGAGACTGAGTTATTTTGTTTCTTCCATTTGTGAATAATCACACCGAATGTTGTCATCTTCTCACCAAGCTGCTTGGTACGGGCAGTCTTGTAGCCCATTCCAGCCTTGTGTAGGTCTACAATCTTGTCCCTGACATCCTTGGACAGCTCTTTGGTCTTGGCCATGGTGGAGTTTGGAATCTGATTGCTTGCTTCTGTGGACAGGTGTCTTTTATACAGGTAACAAGCTGAGATTAGGAGCCCTTCTTTTAAGAGAGTGCTCCTAATCTCAGCTCATTACCTGTACAAAAGACACCTGGGAGCCAGAAATCTTGCTGATTGTTAATACTTATTTCACTAATTAAAATGCAAATCAATTTATAACTTTTTTGAAATGCATTTTTCTGGATTTATTTGTTATTCTATCTCTCACTGTTAAAATAAATCTACCATTAAAATTATAGACTGATCATTTCTTTGTCAGTGGGCAAATGTACAAAATCAGCAGGGGATCAAATACTTTTTCCCCTCACTGTAGTTGATTTTCTAGACAGTAGAATGATTGATGACCAATTGTTTGCCAATCTTTTTAAACCCCTTCCTTTCTCAGAGAGCTCTTTTTGGTTTAGGCATGGTGATACCACACCCTTCAAAAATAAAGAGCATATCAAACTAAATGTTTGAGGTTTCAATAGCAACAGCAGTTAGATTTATATACCGCTTCATAGAGCTTTACAGCACTCTCTATGAAATTTACAGGATCAGCATATTGCCCCCAATAATCTGGATCCTCATTTTACCAACCTCGGAACGATGGAAAGTTGTCAACCTTGAACCCTGTCAGGATTGAACTCCTGGCTGTGGGCAGAATCAACTTCCAATACTACATTCTAACCACTGCACCACCACGGTACTTTGCAATAAGGCAAAATAATTTCTGTCCCTCTAGGTTTCAGGATAATTACATGGATTTACAAGCAGTTTCCAACTCTATACATTCCACCATTCTCAAATTCCACAAAAAATCAGGGTTCTAGTAAAGAGATGCGTCCTTCAAATATACACGTGAAAATTGCAGAGTTGATTGTGGGTAAATGTGTGCAATTTCCCTTATATGCCAGAAGTGTGTTTTAATTGTGTGGAACTCTTAAAATTATAAAATATTATCTCCTTTTCTCCAGTTGATAAGAAATGTGGCAATGCAATAATCACCCCCCCACAGCCATTGGTTTCAGGTCAATATTCCACTACTTGTCTGCAAGCCGTACCTGGCTTTTACTGCCTGCCCAAAGTCCCCTCCAAGCCGGCAAGCACAAATCCTCATCACTGATGCTCCTGAAACATTAACCCAGTCACTGCCCCTACAGGCTGCTTGCCATATCCACCAAGAGTTCATCAGTGCATTATTTTAAGGTGGTCACACAGCTATGCTCTCTTCCAACCCACATTCACTCCATGCGTGCTGGCAGTATTGGAGCTTTCACTTATTTATAGTCAAAGATCAAACACAGTCACAATCACAATCAAATATAATAAGATCCCTATAATTAATAAAACAAATTAAGAAATATATTTGGACATCCCCAAAATTAAACTGACAACCTTCTTATAAATAATTACAATCCCATAAAATTTGGCAACTCTCCTAGATATTTGTGAATATAAATTTCACCAGCATTTTATTACTTCTAATCTATTGCTTAACTAGAGCATTATTAGTTCAACAAGCCTGAGGGCACCATAGCAATAGCACAATGCTGTCTCATTCATCCCAACTCAACAAAAACACGGGTAGTTTTGGGATGGAGTATGAACCCGATGGCAGAACATTAAGACTAGTTTTCAGTATGAGATGGACTGGATGTTATTAAAATAGGGTGGTTATTTATTTGTATCCCATCTTTTATTATTTTTAAATAACTCAAGGTGGCTAACATATCCAACACACCTTCCTTTTGCTCCTTTCCCCACAACTCATACTCTGTGAGGTGGATTGGGCTGAGAGTGTGATTGGCCCAAAATCACTGAGCTGATTTTCATGGCTAAGAATTCACTTAATCTAAAGGGTCAACTACTGTAAGGACCCACCCCACTTTGCATCTTAAGAAGACAGAACTCTTGGAATATTTCTTCCAATAGGCATCTTTATTAAGAGAAAATGGTTGCAGGCGTTCTAGACAGGACCTGGGCCCCAAGCCCTATGGTTCAAGGTTTTAAGGGGTCCCCAGCAGCCCCACCCCACCCCACCATCTTTCCAGCGACAATCCCA